ATGTTGCTCCCTTTCTTAAGTTCTTCTGTGGCTTCCCCTCCTTTCCAAAGCCCTCCTTAAGATTATAAAGCTCTCTATGTCCATGCTGTCCAATAGAAACAGAAAGCAAATTTACCTGGGCAATATTAAATTTTCTAAAAACCACACTAAATAATAGGTCAAATTAATTGTAATAGTAGAAGTTTGAATGACATACTTTAATTGGTACAGTTTTAACATATGGTCAATATAAAAATAATGAGATAATGAGATATCTTACAAGTTTTACTTTATGTCTTACATTTCACAATCTGTTGGGTACTTTAATAGTGTAGCTCCAATCAGATAATTGGTATATATTAGGAAAACCTCTTCTTCATGTGGACTCTGTATAATGCATGTCTAAATAGATTCACATACCTAGGTGATCACACTCATGCTAACTTTTTTCCAATAAGTGAACCTAGTATCATATTTTAAACTTAAATGCATCAATGTAAAAATTAGAGTTTCTTTTTTAAATTTTGTTTTATTTGACAGATAGAGTTAGACAGTGAGAGAGAGAAACAGAGAGTAAGGTCTTCCTTCCATTGGTTCACCCCAAAATGGCCGCCACGGCTGGCACTGCGCTGATCTGAATCCAGGAGCCAGGTGCTTCTTCCTGGTCTCTCATGCGGGTGCAGGGCCCAAGCACTCGGGCCATCCTCCACTGCCTTCCCGGGCCACAGCAGAGAGCTGGACTAGAAGAGGAGCAACCAGGACTAGAACCCAGCACCCCTATGGGATGCCAGCACCACAGGCAGAGGATTAACCGAGTGAGCCATGGTGCCGGCCCTGAGATTTTCATTTTCTCAGTTGCACTAGACACATTTTGAGTGCTCCCTACCCACCTGTGACAGGGAGCTGCTATTTTTAACCGCATTTTTCCACTACACCTACTTCAAGTCCTCACTTTCTACTCATCTCTTTATCTTGTTCACTCAGCTTCAGACATGTTAGACTCTATTCTGAGCTTGAATTCTCCAGGACTGCTCTTGACAAACTCGTGTTGCTTTTCTTCCCCTTTTCAACATGTTCACCTTAGTCACAGCTGCAAAGTCTCTTTTTTCATGTAAGGTCAGGTGTTCACAGGCTTTGGAGATTTTTTCCTCCAGATTCATCTGTGTTCAATCATGTTGTTACAAATGAGAGTTTTCTTCTTTCTGTAAAGGCTGGTTGTGTTTCATTGTGTGTGTATGTGTGTGTGTGTATACCACATATATATACCATATATATATATAAATATATATACACCACGTTTACTTTGATTCATACATTTTGTTCTGTATCTTGAGTTTTATGAATAATTCCACATTGAAAATAAGAGCACAGATATATGTTCAGCATACGCAAATGGGGATGCTGGGTCACACAGGGTAGTTTGTTTTTAGTGTGGGGGGACCTCCTTAACAGATTTCTGTGTACTAATATACACTTCCACAACAGTGATCCAGGGTTCTTTTCTCTCTGAATCTTCACCAACATTCATCTTTTATCTTCATTATAATAGCCATCCAAAGAAGTATGAGGTGTTGTCTATTGTAATTTTAATTTTCTTTATATAATAATTAGTTATACTGACAATTTTATACACTTATCCTCCTTCGAGAAATGACTATTCAGTTCCTTTACTCATGTTTTAATCAAGTTATTTGTTTTCTTGCTATTAAGTTGTCTCCGGAACCTTACTGTAAAGCTTATTGTGACAACCTATGAAAGGTACTTAACACTGTGTCTGACAATAAAAAAAATGTTAGAGATTAAAGTTCTTGTTCTTTATAGGAAGCTTTCACTGAGCCACAGTTATATAACTGTCACAATAATATAACTGATACACTATGATGAATTTCCTGTTGACATGAATTCCCCACATTTAAACAGTGATTAACATGATAAATAGATAATGATAACAGTGGACAATGAATTCAGTTAATGTACTCCCAAGATTTCAAAATTCATAATCTTTTAGTTTCACTTTTTATTTATTTGAAAGGCAGAGAGACAGTGAGAGGCAAGGAGACAGACAGAAATCTCTGCTGGTTCACTATTTAAATATACACAGTTAATTGGGTCTGAGCCAAGCCAAAGCCAAGAGTCACAAATTGCATCCGGGTATCCCATATAGGGTACAGGATCCAAGAACTTGAGAAATCACCTCTATTTCCCAGAGTGCACATTAACAGGAAGTTGTAAAGAATAGTGGGGACTGGACTTGAACCCAGGCACTGTGATATGGGATGTAAGCATCCCACGTGGCAGCATAACCACAACACCAAACGCCGTCTCTTCAAGAGAAGGCTCAGACATCTAATTTTTTTCTCCACATATTCAAAATACGCTAACAAATTGTCAGGTTGGAAAAAATTTTGTGCTTAAAAAGTTATATGCAGGGTTTGATTAATGACTGAGTGTCAATAGATATGAAAATTGTCATTGTTGTGAATCAAAAGTAAAAACGAAAGGCATCATTATGATTAGAAGGATTTTAATTTTCTGTTAAGGGAATACAGTTGGCATATTGGTTATTTCACTATTGGGGGGCACACATTTCACCTTAGAGAGCCTGGGTTCACACACTTACTCTTCTGTGAATTCCACTGTCCTGCTAATGCAAACCCGGGGAGGCAGCAGTACTCAAGTACTCTGGTGCCTGAGCACATATGTGATGCCTGGATTGAACTGCCAGCCCCTGGCTTAGGCCTGTTTCTGCCTAGGCTTCTGTGGACATTTGGAGAATGAACCAGAGAGGAAAGGCCTCTATTTTTCCTTTTCAAATAAATAAAATAAATACATATACATTTTAAAAATATTTAAAATATTAAACAAAATGTAACCAATGAACAAAATATTGATTATTCACAATATTTTATAGGCAGTCAAATGAATGGAAGAGGAAGCATCTGCAAAAAGAAGTGAAACTTACAGCCAAATATTTTTGCACAAAATTTAGCATAGCTCAGTGCAAAGATGCACCAACATTTGTTGAGCCAATATTTTTCTGTAGGACATTACGTTGTTTATAGCTTTGTTATTAAAATAATAATGCATTAAAATCTTTCATATAAACCTTTGATAACATATCTAAATTTTTCTCTAGGTATACACCCAAGAAGAATGTATTGTACAAACAATATTATAAAGTTTTTAAATACTTTTTCTTCTTGAAGTGTCATTCCAATTATATATTTCTCAATAATGTATGATAGTGCCAACATCACCAGAAAGCCACTAGCACTGGTTTTATTTGTGTTTATGGATTTGATTGAGACATAATAGAGAATTGAAATAACCTAAATTTATATCCCAGCACTACCTCTTAGTAGTAGAATGAATTTTGAATCTCTTACTCCCAATATCTAATTCCTAGAAAAGAGGCTGAAGCTTTCTCACAAGGTTAAGCCAACACTTTTGATGCTGACATCCCATATTGAAGTGCTGGTTTGTGTACTCTGAGTACTCATTCACTTCCTGCTGATGTTCCTGGGAAGGCAGCAGAAGATGACGAAAGTTCTTGGATCCCTGCTACCCATGTGAGAGACTAAAATGGGCTTTATGGCTCTTGTGCCCATTTGAGGAGTGAACAAGTGAATGGAAGATCTCTCTCTTTTTGTTTCTCCCTCTCTCTCTGTCTCAATACCTTTCAAAATGAATAAAAATCTTTAAAAATATTAAGTAGGATAAAATATACAAAGTTACATTTTAAGGGGCTATATTTAAGTGTAGCAAGTTAAGCTGCAGCCTGCAACACTGGTATCCCATAAGAGTGCCAGTTTGAGCCTCGGCTGCTCCACTTATGATACAGCTCCCTGCTAATTTGCCTATGGAAACAGCGAAGGATAGCACTCATGTGAGAGCCCTGGATGAAGTTCCTGGTGTTGGCCTGGCCAGCTGTTGCAGCCATTTGAGGAGTGAACTAAAGGATGGAAGATCTCTCCCTCTCTTTCTCTCTCTCTCTCTTTCTCTCTCTCTCTCTCTCCCCCCCTCTCTCTTTATCTCTTTCTCTCTCCATCTCTGTCTGCAAATCTGTCTTTCAAATAAATACAATAAATCATTTTTAAAAAGGTGCTGTTGTGTAGAAAACATTCAATGAACACTTTATACTTGTTATCTTACATTCATGCTAAAAACAGAGTGAATCATACATAGGTTGCATATTTTTAATAATTTTTTCTGCATTTGTACTAAAGATTGTAATTCTCATATTGCATATCTGATATATAAGTTGTTACAACAAAATTGGATACAAATCAATATTTGCATATTTGAATATTAAATGCAACATTGAAAAGTTGTATAATGGTAACAAGTCTTCATAATTAAGTTTTCCAATAAAATGATATGTTGTGTGCTTGGCTTGCTCTTAACTATATTATAGAGTTATTACATGCATACCTGAAAAGGGACAGGTAGTCATAACAACTGTTTAATTTTTAAATTAATTATTACTAACTAATTAGAACTTATTTGGTTTAAATTTGTAAACATGAAAACATCAGAAAAATAATTAATATTTTTTATGAGGTCATTATTTCAAGTTATATTTTATATTTTAATATTTAAAATATTTTATGAGAAAAATGACTAGAAAATGATTAAAAATTGACAGAAAACTATTTATTTTGTTGGATATTTATCCTAAACTCCCCCATTGTATGCTGATCCCTAAAATATTTTCTACTGATGTACACAGTCATTTAATTAATTGATGGGTACTTTTGTCAGATAATTAAAAATAAATTATCTGAATTCTTTTATATTTTAGTACTTGACCATATTTTAGTTTTTAATAATAACAAAACTTTTATAAAATATAGAATTAAAATACATTTTCATGCATTCCAATGCCAACTTATTAAATAACTGAAATGAGAATTGTTATGGCTACTTGTTGTCTTCAATTACAAATTGCTAATGTTCATACTGAAAAAACAGTTATTATGTTAAAGAAAAGTCTCTAAATATTTTATTATATTACTTTACAGATGCTCCCAAGTTTATATCAAACCAAACAATTTATTACTCTTGGGAAGGAAATCCTATCAATATAAGCTGCGATGTGAAATCGAATCCACCAGCATCAATACATTGGAGAAGAGACAAATTAGTCTTACCAGCTAAAAACACCACTAATTTAAAGACATACAGTTCAGGAAGAAAGATGATATTAGAGGTAAGTCTTCACGTAAAGAACAGTACTGTTATTATTATCTATATAATCTATCTGTACATCCTATTTTATTTATATATACATATATATATTTCATACTTTTTTACATGAAGGTAAAGTTTATGCATTTGGACCATGGCCCATTAATGATGAATGTCTCAGTATTCACTAATTCAGAAATATGGTATATAAAATACAGCATTTTTATGAATTTACTTTTGAAAGGAATATAATTATATTAGAGAAAACCTAGTAACTTAACATTGGAGGGCAAAAATTTCAATTTCAGTGTTGTTACTTCAATTGATCCTATGTTCATAAATGTGTTTTCTTTATATTGCCATATATAAATATTATATAATGGCTACATTTTTAAATTCTGAGGAAGCGTTCTAACTAGATCAAATTTACATGTTCAGAGCCTCTCTGAATTCTATATTTAAAATTTAAAATGAGTATAAATAATTATTTTTATAGTGCCAAGTAGCTGGCTTTTAAATACTATTAAAAAAGAATGGCTTTTGGCCCGTGCTGCGGCTCACTTGGCTAATCCTCCGCCTGCAGTGCCGGCAGCCCGGGTTCTAGTCCCAGTTGGGACGCCAGATTCTGTCCTGGTTGCTCCTCTTCCAGCTCTCTGCTGTGGCCTGGGAAGGCAGTGGAGGATGGCCCAAGAGCTGGGGCCCTGCACCTGCATGGGAGACCAGGAGCTCCTGGTCTCGGATCGTCGTACCGGTCATAGCGGCCATTTGGGGGGTGAACCAACGTTAAAAGGAAGACCTTTCTCTCTCTCTCTCTCTCTCTCTCTCACTGTCCAACTCTCCCTGTCAAAAAAAAAAAAAAAAAAATAGAATGGCTTTTATTTGTTAATTGCAGATTATGTATATGTGAGTATGTATGTATGTTTATATGTACCAATTTGTAAAATTTTATAAGCATATGACAGTAATCATCAGCCTTTCAATTTATAATGCTTTCAAAACAAATGGGAATCTACACAGTCGTTTTTAAATGAAAAGTTGAGACATTTTCTCCATTAATTCAGTTTACAAGAATTGAAAGAAATGAATGCTTTAGAATAACATGAGATATCACTACTGCATAAATTGAAGGTGTTCTTGTTCATGTCATATTATCTCTTCTACATTACAATTTGACTTAGTTAATTGCTTGATGAAAATGATTAAGATTTATCCATCACATCCCCAAATATTTCTATAGTTATATATTTAAACCTATTTCAGTGTAAATTAGTATTTGCAATTGTGCTGGAAGAACTGGCCGTTGGTGAATTGGCAGGGCTATCATTTCACAAAGACTTTTAAGCAGATTTAAGCTAACTTTTAGTTTATTTTTTAACCGTGGTTAAAATTGATTAGATTTAGCTTCAGCTTTGGGTAGTATATTAATCTCTTTGGTTGCCATAATAGCGTATCACAGTCTGGCTTGTATAAATAACCAAATTTATTTTCTCAGTTCTGAAGGCTGAATGTCCAAGATCAAAGTGTCAGCAGGATTGGTTTCCAGAGAGGACTCCTTCCTTAACTTGTACATGACTTTCACCCTGCTAAGTCCTCCCACACCCCTTACTCCACGCTCTATCTGTTTTTCTTCTTAAAAAGACAAAAGCCCTGCTGTACTAGGACCTATCCTTTTGTATGTAAGCTTAATTACATTCCTAAAGATACTATCTCCAAATATACTCACACTTGGTGTTAAAGTTTCAATATTTGAACTTTGGAGTGAATGAAATTCAGTCTAAAACAGGTAGATTTAAGATCATACTTAAATGATAGACTGATGTGTAATTTTTGATTTACTTCATCATATCACTTTTGAGTTCCTAAGATAACTCCTAATCTTTATGGTTCATGTCAAGAATCATTTTGTATGTACAACCTGAAAATATTTGGATTATATGAAGATCTCATGCTACTTAAATTTCTCCTTAAAAGGCATTCACTCCAACCCCAGGTGGAAAATAAGCCATTTTTTTATTACTTTACATATAGCTAATTGATCTGCTAGTTAACACATTGCTTTATTTTTTGTTTCTGTGTATATTTTTTCACAGATTAAATTTTATTTAAAATTTTTATTAAAAAATAATCATTTTTCATTTTAAAAATTCATATGAGCAAGTGACACAGCTTGAAAATAATACAAAATGATAAAAAAAGAAAAAATAAACATTAGTAACTTTTTATTGGTAGAACACATAGTAGCTTTGGGACTTAAATATTATTGTAATCGTCATCTAAGTACTAGTTCTTAAAATGTATAAAAAAGTGGTTATATTTAAAATGCTAACCTTAAAGTATGTGCAACAGTCACAATTCTCCATTGTGGATATTCTGTCTCTGCATTGTATTGATTCAATATACACATTCATCCTTGTGGAACATACAGAGCATTTTCTGAGATGACTGTAGAATAAAAAAGGGGTGTTGTTAAATTTCATTCTCATTAGCAGAATTGTATTAGTGTTAACTTAGACTGCCTGATCAAAAGCTGAAAGTCAGAAAAATGAATATTTGAATCACTATGGAGTACTTTTGCAAAAACTGTTAAAACTTCTAAGCCTTAAACTCATGAACTATTCCTAGATGGACAGCTGCCTAGAGAATGAATGACACTACTTTTTTTTGTACTCTTTTAGAATTATCATCTTCAATGGACCTCAAAATTGCACTCTTAGTTAATAGCCTCTCATTGCTGCAAAATCATTTTTCTCTTTTAAGATACAGTTGAAATTAGCAGCAACTCTTCTTGTAAGGGTATTCTTTCTTAATAATAGTTACTGGAATTGAAAATTATATCTATTACTAGTATCAAATCTCTTTTCCTAAACTGATAGTTTAGGAACCTCTATGTTTTAGAATTGTCAGGTTGGTCCCAAGATTCACAGAAAGAGTCCTCAAAGGTTAACTTAATTATAGATTTCAAATATGTAAGGACCGAGGCCAGCTATTTTCCACCTAAACAAAATGAGAATGATAGGAATTGAATGGAAATATACTGTTATTAGATATCAAGAAATTGTGCCTGTCTGTGGCAGTGTTTGCACAGGGACAATATATTCTTGAAAAATATCTTCCTGCAAAAATTTTTTAGAATGATTCATTGTTTCTTATAATTTTACATACATAAACTTATAAAAAGGGGACAGATCTTATGTTTTGTGTCTGCTTCACTTTAATTCAACCTGGTCTGAGACTAAAACAGGAAATCTAGTTAGTAATAAGTGTGGTATAAACTTCCTATTTTCAAGTCCACATTTGCATTTATTTTAACTATTTGTTTTTCAAACTGCATACTGTTTTCTGAGTTTTACATACAGGAGAAACTGATGATTTTGCTATGCAGTAGGTACTATAAAATGGTGACAGTTTTCTGCTTAATGAATGTAATAGATAAACTTTGATTCAACCTATCCTTTTAGGTAGTTAATTTTTATTTTTAACAGATACAAAATTAAACATTTATTGGGTATCACATTTTTGTATAATGAATGAACAATCAGGATAAACAAATCTATCTTCTTTAAATATTTAGTATTTCCTGGTTGTGAAAGCACATTTGAAATTTTTTCACTATTTAATACAGTTTAATTGACACAGGAAAAAAAGTTATGGCAGGAGATATATGTTAAATGAGCATGAAGACAAATGGTAGGCATACTAATATCTATTTTAAAGTTTCTATGATGTTGCTTAGAATCCTTTGTTATAATGATCATTTCAGATTGCTCCTACATCTGACAATGACTTTGGACGATATAATTGCACAGCCACTAACCGTATAGGAACAAGATTTCAAGAATATATTCTTGCTTTAGCTGGTAAGTACAGCACAATAATTTTTGAGATCATACAACAATTTTTTTTCACATTTTATTTATTTTAAATTAAGAGTTACAGAAAGAGAGGGGGATACAGAGACAGATATTTTCCATCCACTATTTCACTCCCAGATGGCCACAATGGCCTAGTCCACCCCCAGGAGCCTGTAACTTCATCCGGGTATCCCACATGGGTGGTAATCCATAATACATGAACTATCTTCTGCTGCTTTTCCCAGGCCATTAGCAGAGAGCTGGATCAAACATGAAGCAGTTGGGGTGTGAACTGGTGCCCACCTGTATATGATGCAGATAGTCACAAGTGGCAGCTGTACTCACTAGCCGCCATGTCAACACCATCTTGTACACTTTAATGAATCATTATTTAAATTGTTATATGAAAGAATGAACCAGTGCTGATTAACTTGGAACAGTTGTATCTGACATGTAATCAGGACGTAAAAGGTATTTACAGATCAAGACTGATTAAGCCCTGATTTTATTGTTCCTAACTTTGTAATTGAGATTTATGTGACAACAGTAGGTAACATATATATTTAGATATCAAATAATACTTCAAGTACCATAAGAATTATGTTAATAATTAAAAGATAAAAACCTCCTCAGAGAAAATGAATTATAACCTTGCCCATATCTGGCTATTGTGGCCATTTGTTGAGTGATCCAGTCGATGGAAAATCTTGATTCTCTCTCTCTCTCTCTTCCTCTGTGTGTGTGTGGGGGGGGGGTATATGAGTGTAGTTATGTGTCTCCTCTCTATCAGTCTGCTTTTCAAAACAATAAATAAGTCATATCAATCATTTGCTAAAATTATAACTCATTAGTGTTCTTCCTTCCTTATTGTTTTGTCTTCCAACAGATTATAAAAGGCACTGCATGTATTTATATATAATTTTAATTTTCAAATGACCTTAATTCTAGTTTTTAAACTTTATTATTAAACTTTATTATCAAATTATTTAATTTATATTTTTGTGGATTCTTTTTCATTTGTTTAATTTATGTGAAAATCACAGAGATAAAGAGGAAAAATACAAAGAACTTCCACTTTCTGGTTCATTTTCCAAATGCCAGGAGCCTGGAACTCAGTCTGGGTTCCCCACAGGCATGCCGGATACCCAGCAGTCAGATCCTTCTTCTGCTGTCTCCAAGAGTGTGCACTTACAGGAAGCTGTAAGGAACTCATGCCAAGCATTCTCATATGGGATTTGGGCATCCCAAGTGGTAGCTTAACAAGGCATTAAAGAACCAGCCCCTTGCATTTCTTAATTTATTTCAACATTGTTTTATATTAAACCATAAAACAATAATCTCACCTTCATTAAATGGCAAACTTTTCTGATAAGTCATCTTTTTCGGGAGATTTTTTATGGGAGGACTTAATGCTAAGCTGTTAACAGGTAAAACAAATGGAATATGGGGGAATGAATATCTTTTTCTTGGGGAGGTTTCTGGGCAAAACTTCAAGCAAACATGCTATGAACTATCTCATTAGACTGTTGTGAGCACTAAATGAGTTCATGCAATACCAGCACCCTCTGCAAGTAAAGTATGCAATAAATGTTATGTAATATTTATTAGTATTTTATGACCAAATTTTAGTTCCTAGAGGTCACTTTTCTTTAAGATAGAAATCAATATGTCAATGTATTTGTTGTTATAATACAAATAGAGAAGTTCAAAAATTTTGTAGAAGGTAGAATTTTAAAATAAGATTATTTTGGTGAGAAAAAAATAAAATCTGAGAGTATGAGACATCTTCAGAAATGTGCCTGATGGAAAAACTATGTATGTATTTCTAATAGTTTGCATCAGAATAAACTTATCTTTGCATTCCATTTTCATACATACCTTTTAAAGTCCCTTCCCATATCTAGACAGTACAGGCCAATGCACAATAAAATGGGGTAATGACCGTGCTTATTAGTGACACTGTATTTCTAGTAAGTAATTTTGATTTCCATGTGATTTTGCCACTTCTTCCTTCCTTGTGGCTTTCCTACATCTTTCTTACACAAATTGCACTTAAGTGAGGTCTCCCATACTGTGCTTCACAATTGATTCTTTTAACCTCAGTTCGAGACTCTATACTTACCCCCATTAAATCTCATCTTCTCAGTTTGGGCTCATCTTTTTAACCTCTTGAGACCCTGTCAAATCCAATATTTTATCATTCTTACCAAGATTGATTTAATTCACAAACCTCATGAGGTGGTCATCTATATTTTTACCTCAGTCAAAGATAAGCCTATAAAAGTCACTTTTGAGAACAGAGACCTTGTTCAGGTTAAATTGTATCAATTGACAGAATTCTGTAGATATGGAATTACAGTCCATTTACTGGTCCTTCTAGCCAGACTAGAGTTTATCCAGACTCTGGAAAGCAGATTAAAATTGCTTCAGTTTGAAGCACACTTTCTTCAACTTTCTTACATAATTATTTTTGTGATCTAGCCTGGAAAAGACAGCATCTTGTTCAATTTTTGGAAATACTAAGGTGACCTTAGTCATATTCAGAAACTACTTATATAACATTCCCTCATTTTCTCATTCTCATATTATTATGAAAACGAAATTAGGATAATGTGATAATATTGTATAGGGAATCAGTGTTTTCATCAATTCTTAATAACTTCATACTTATTCAGCAAACTCATAGTGAATGCCTATTAGCTGTCAGACATTGTTATAGACTTCTGAGTCTAAAGGGTTATAATACTTGGTATCTGGTCTTTACTTGAAAGTTAGAATTCAAAGGTAAGGGCTAAAACAAAAGTGTGAACCAATAGCATCAAGATTTAAAATTGAATTCTGATTAGCCATTTTGAGAAAGATTCAAACAGATAATAGCTTTTGAATTGGATCTGAAAGTGTTCGTAGAATCAAGTCCAGTGAAAAAGAAAAATTGAGTCAATGTAACACCATAATCTGAATTGAGGGGACTTTGAGACATTTAATGGATGACAGGAGAAATACATCAGCTGAGGGGAGCAGTGCATGGTGGTGTGAACAGTGAAGTAATGAGAGTTCAACTCATAGATCTCTAAAACCTTCGTATGTTTTAATTCTCTCAGACATGCAGAAAGGGAAGCTTGGAGTTTCTTTGGCCATAAAACAACATGATCTAGTTAGGTTGAAACAGCTTTATTGGTTTCATTTTAAAGACTTATTTCAGCATAACATAATAATAATAATAATTACCACTTTCCAAATCCATAAATGTAAACTCAAATAGTATAGACTAAATATTATAAACTAATTTTGGTTGCTCCAGAAGGGGAAGAAATACACATACAAGTTGCCTAAGTCTAAGTAGTTTTCGATTAATTTATTGAAGGTATAAAGGTTATAGTATGTTTTTGTTGAATGCATGAAGGGTTAACTGTGTTACATTATGTCATGAATAATAATTGAAATTCTCAGTTAATAATAGGATCTCAGGGTCCAGGAGAAATGTGAGAAGTCAAGATATTAAAATATCTGTAGGAAATAATTTCCTATACATCCATGGAGAATACTAGAGGCAAAAATGGCATATTCAAGGATAGATCCATGTACTTCCTCAGTTTAACCAACACATAAAATATATGAATGGCCGGCGCCGCGGCTCAATAGGCTAATCCTCCGCCTAGTGGCGCCAGCACACTGGGTTCTAGTCCTGGTCGGGGCACCGGATTCTGTCCCGGTTACCCCTCTTCTGGGCCAGCTCTCTGCTGTGGCCTGGGAGTGCAGTGGTGGATGGCCCAAGTGCTTGGGCCCTGCACCCCATGGGAGACCAGGATAAGCACCTGGCTCCTGGCTCCTGCCTTTGGATAGGCACAGTGCAACGGCAAAAGGAAGATCTTTCTCTCTCTCTCTCTCTCTCTCTCACTGTCCACTCTGCCTGTAAAAAAATACATAAATAAAAAAAAGTATATGAATAATAAATGAGAAAAGTTTATTCAGAGCATTCAACTAACAACTGGTGGGAGAAAATTTAAACATAAGTGATCAAATGCTGTAGAAAGATCAATAGTCTAATGATTTGGATTGGACAGTTCAAGAAAACCAGAGAGTAGTGAAATGTGGAGGAATTTACAGTTCAGATGTGTTCACAGTCACTAAAATATAGGCTTAATCTCATAATCTGTCTTACTGCATTCTGACCACTATTGCAAAATACATTTGACACTTCATTTAGACTCCTTTCTTAGAATTGTTGGCTCACAATTATGGAGACTGGGAAACCCAAGGGCAAGGGACCAGCAAGACTTGTTGGCTAGTGTGGGCCTGTTGCTCATTGATGGCACCCTCTGGCCTTCCTTATGTAGTGCAAGTGATGAACACACTCCCTTCAGCATCCATTCATGAGAGTAGAACCCTTATGACCTAATCACTTCCTCAGAATTCTCACCGCTTACTAAAGTGACCAGTGTTGTGAAATGGCGGTTAAGCTGCCACCTGTGATGCCAACATCCCATATGGGTGGCAGTTCGAGTCCTGGCTCTTCCACCTCCAACCCAGCTCCCTGCTAATGTGCCTTGGGAAGCAGTAGAGGATGGTCCAAGTCCTTGGGAGCCTGCACCCATGTGGGAGACCCAGAAGCTCCAGGCTCCTGGCTTCAGTTCGGTCCAGCCTTGGCCATTGTGATCAGTTGGTGAGTGAACCAGCAGATTGAAGATCTGTCTGTCTCTTCTGTCTGTCTCTTTCTCTCTCTCTTTTCCTCTCTCTCTCTGTAACTCTGCCTTGTTATGATGGTTTACAGTCCTTGTCTCAACTGTTGAGGAACAGTGTTCTTTTCTTCATACTATTTGTTGAAACTTCACTTAGTGTAAAGTCAATCTTATGAGTATAAATAAACTGAAAATAGATCTTTGTAAAAATTAAGAATAGGAATAGGAGAAGGAGGAGGAAGAAAGATGGGAGAGTCGATGGGAAGGAGGTCAGAATGGAAAGTATCACTATGTTCCTTAATCTGCATATATAAAATACATGAATTT